TATTGAGCAAAATCCTCGGCCCTCCCCCCCAGGGGATCCTCCCCCCCCTCAACTGGAGGAGGGAGCGAGTCACCCTGAAGAGGGTGGCCGGGCGATTATCTGATGACGCAATGAGGGTGGAGTAGTAATTAGACCTCGCCACCCTCATCGCCACTAGGTAGGATCTAACCTGTATCCTTGCCTGTGTTCGATCGAATTCAGTTCGACTCACCCTCCAACTGCTCTCTAGGCGTCTTTTCCGGCGCTTCATCTCTCTCAGCTCCTCGGTAAACCAGGGTGCCAATTGAGATCTGCGCCGGGTCAGAGGCCGCAAAGGCACGACTTGGTCCAATGCTGCGGCAGCGGCCCCTTCCCAGGCCGCCGCCAGATTTTCAACCGAGTCGTGAGCTAGGTCCTCCGGATATGGCCCAAGCTCCGTCTGGAACCTCTCTGGGTCCATCAGGCGCCTGGGGCGGAACCATCTAAGTGGTTCCTCCTCCCTGCGACTATACCTCCCCATAGTCCACAGCACTCACTGGGCAATTTACAACATCAGCATATTACCTCCAACAATCTGGGTCCTCATTTTACTGACCTCGGAAGGATGGAAATCTGAGTCAAGCTTGATCCCAGTCAGGATCAAACTCCTGGCTCTGGGCAGAATTAGTCTGCAATACTGCATTCTAACCACTGCGCTATCATAATCTGTTTGAAAAACAATAGTGGCTACTCACCTGGATCACCCATTATACTAAGACACAAATCATGTTTTATAAGTTGCTGTAGCTGGGTCCATACAACATGTCAGGCCCAAAGAGCCCTCCTATTGGCTTAGCTTGATTGTGAACACAGCCATTTTCACAGCATAAACCTCATGTTTTATTTCGGTCTTATACCTTATATCACTGATACCCCTAAACTAATACCCTATACATCCCTTCAGGATATAAGTTCATAAAAATCTGTTCTTAGATTTACAGTGAGGAATTAGACCACAAAAGACAGCCAGGTAGAAAAATAGGACTGAATTCACGAATAAAATATATTGATGAACATATTGGAATTTCTGATATCAAAAATAGTTGCATGCATCAATTACAGTTTTTATTCTAACATATATCTATCCCCAAAGAGAGTGCTTTGTGTCTAGAACTAAACGTAGAATCCAAGAAGAAAACCTGATGTTAAAATTCTGCTCATCTCTGCTGTAAATTAGAGAGCTGAACCAGCACTCCATTCTTATAGCCCGATTCCCCACATACCTTGATATGTTTCAGAACTTTTCCTGCAGCTCCAGACTCAAGAAGAGTTACAGTGCAACCTCCAAAACCACCACCAGTCATTCTGCTACCATAAACTCCAGGTACTTCCATGGCAGCAGCTACCAGCTCATCTAATTCTGGACAACTAACTTCATAGTCATCCCTGATGGAAGGAAAAAAATAAGTGATTTTTAAACAAAAATGAGAAAAAAAACCTAATTGTCAATTACTATACGGAAGGAAGCTATGCACAAGGGGGGAAAAAAAGGTTAGTGATGGCGAACCTTTCAGAGAACGAGTGCCCAAACTGCAACCCAAAACCCACTTATTTATTGCCGGGTGCCAGGTGGGCGTGGCCCACTGGGTAGGCATGGCTGTGGTGGTCATGGTGGACTGGGTGGGTGTAGCAAGGTGGGCGTGGTCACCTCAATGTTGCTCATGGGGAGGGACGCCTGTGGGGGCTGGGCAGGGTTGGGGGAGATCCAGGGGGTCTCTGGCAGGTGGGGTGGTGGGCAGGATGCTCGTCCTGAGGTGTGAGGCGAGGCAAGGCGAAGCAGGGCGGGGCTGCCATTGTCGCAGGCCAAGGTAAGGCAGGGGCTGAGGCGGCTGTTGCCTGACACCATCAGCCCCCGCACATAGAGGCCAGCGAGCGCATGGGGACCGACAGTGTCCGTCAGCAGCCACAGCATGCCGGCCCCTTGACCGGCGCACTCTGGGGCTCTGCAGCCCACCGCCAGCAGTTCAGAGAAGCTGCCTCTGAACTGGACGGACGGCTGACAGCTGAAGAGGTGATGCAGTGGGTCGTGCCCGGGAAAAGGAGAGAATTGCGAGGCTAGGAGGGATGGGACGGGGAGGAGGGAAACCAGCCATGCTGAGATGCATCTGGCCATGTGGGACCTCGGTGAGTTAGCGGGCGGCTGGTTGAAGAGGGACGATTGCCATCTCCGGGGTATAGCGCGCGTGCCCACAGAGAGGGCTTTGAGTACCACCTCTGGCACGCGTGCCATAGGTTCGCCACCACTGGATTAGGAGTTACAGTAGACCTAATCAATATAATGATAGACGTGGGTTGATATTACAGAAGTACTCAATTCTCACCTTGGGATACATTAAAGCAGAGCTGGGCATTTTGCGGCCTTGGGCCATATCCGCCTCTTTGGCTGTCCCTGTCCGGCCCGCATGAGATCAATCAGAAATTAGAAATCAAATGTAAATAAGTGTACACTATGTACACAATACAACTGATTGCTTTCATTTTGAAGGTGACTTATTTTTTTTTCCAATTTACCTTTGTGCATGTGTTCGTGCCTATGCACCTTCACAGCCCTGTTGGTTCAGCCCTCCACAATAGTCTCAATTTCTCATGTAGCCTCTTGGACAATTAATTGCCCACCCTTGCATTAAAGTGTATCACTTGCAACAGACAAACTCTATGTCATTATACACTGCATGTAGATCTTTGTTGATGGGATATGGAAAAGAATATGACGCAACAAACTGACTTCATTTACTCTTAGGAAGAAACGTCCCATGTGGAACAAATATAATTAAGGCTGACAATCTAGTCTACACTTTCTCTATCTTATTTAAAAATATGTCTTAGCTGGCCAAAGGCATGACAGATTGTGTTTATGGGTCCCTCTGATGATACACAAACAATAGTAATTTGGAATGTAAGAGGAATAAAAAGTAGTAGGTCTACACATTAAGGTGTTCTTAATTCTGTGAAATCAAAGAGATGCGATAGATGTACAATAGTGGTAGTCCTCAACGTATGACCACAATTGAGCCCAAAGTTGATGTTGCTAAGTGAGAAATTTGTTAAATGAGTTTTGCCCCATTCTGCAATCTTTCTTGCCACGCTTGCGAAGTGAATCACTGCAGTTTTGCAACCGTTATATTGCAACCGTTATAAATTTGAGTCAGTTGTCAAGCACCCGAATTTAAATCACATGACAATTGGGGATGCTGCAGCAGTCATTAAGTGTGAAAAATGGTCATATGTCACTTTTTTCAGTGCCATTGTAACTGTTGTGGCTCCGTCCGGTGGGTCCCTCTCATCAGAGGAGGAAGGCTCTGAACATGAAGGAGAGGAGATGGCCAGGCCTCCCTCTCCAGGCCCTTCCCCTCTGGTGCGGCCTTTGGTGCCTTCCGACGGAGAGGAGTTTGGCCAGGAGCCCGGTGTTTCTGGGATTGGCCAGGAGCCCGGTGCTTCTGGGATTGGCCAGGAGCCAGGTGCTTCTGGGATCAGCCAGGAGCCAGGTGCTTCTGGGATCAGCCAGGAGCCAGGTGTATCGGACTCCGAAGAGGATACGTCTTGGCTGGATCCACGCCAGCGTCGGAAGGACAAGCGTGCGCAGCAGCGGAAACGCCGTGCCAGATAGTTCAGCTGAGTCACTGGGCCACACCCCACTGGCTATATAAGCAAGGGGTGTGGCGTGTGAAACTT